AGGGAGTAGTGACAGAGGGAGGTGGTGACTAGTAACAGTCACCACCTCCCTCACTCTGTCACTAGTCACCCCTTCCTTCCCTCACTCTGCCACTAGTCACCCCTTCCCTCACTCTGTCACTAGTAACCCCCTCACACTAGTGACAGAGTGTGGGAGTGACAGAGAGAGGGAAGGGGGTGACTAGTGACAGAGTGAGGGAGGGGGTGACTGTCACTAGTCACCCCATCCCTCTCTCTGTCACTAATCACTCCCTCCTAACTCTGTCACTGTGTCACCCCCTCCCTCACTCTGTCACTAATCACCCCTCTGTCCTTAGTGACAGAGTGAGGAAGGGGGTGACTAGTGACATAGTGAGGGAGGGGGTGACTAGTGACAGAGTGAGAGAGGGGAGGGGGTGACTAGTGACAGTCACCACCTCCTTCACTCTGTCACTAGTCACCCCCTCCCTCACTCTGTCACTAGAGTGAGGGGGTGACTAGTGACAGAGTGAGGGGGTGACAGAGTGAGGGAAGGGGATGACTGGTGACAGAGTGAGGGAAGGGGATGACTGGTGACAGAGTGAGGGAGGGGATGACATTTGACAGAGTGAGGGAGGGCGTGACTAGTGACAGAAGGAGGGAGGGAGTAGTGACAGTGAGGGAGGTGGTGACTAGTGACAGTCACCACCTCCCTCACTCTGTCACTAGTCACCCCTTCCTTCCCTCACTGTGCCACTAGTCACCCCTTCCCTCACTCTGCCACTAGTCACCCCTTCCCTCACTCTGTCACTAGTCACCCCCTCACTCTAGTGACAGAGTGAGGGAGTGACAGGTGACAGAGTGAGTGACTAGTGACAGAGTGAGGGAAGGGGTGACTGTCACTAGTCACTAGTCACTCCCTCCTAACTCTGTCACTGTGTCACCTGCTCCCTCACTCTGTCACTAGTCACCCCCTCCCTCACTCTGTCACTAATCACCCCCTCTGTCCTTAGTGACAGAGTGAGAGAGGGGGTGACTAGTGACAGAGAGGGAAGGGGTGACTGTCACTAGTCACCCCATCCCTCTGTCACTAGTCACTCCCTCCTAACTCTGTCACTGTGTCACCTGCTCCCTCACTCTGTCACTAGTCACCCCCTCCCTCACTCTGTCACTAATCACCCCCTCTGTCCTTAGTGACAGTGAGAGAGGGGGTGACTAGTGACAGAGAGAGGGAAGGGGTGACTGTCACTAGTCACCCCATCCCTCTGTCACTAGTCACTCCCTCCTAACTCTGTCACTGTGTCACCTGCTCCCTCACTCTGTCACTAGTCACCCCCTCCCTCACTCTATCACTAATCACCCTCTCTGTCCTTAGTGACAGAGTGAGAGAGGGGGTGACTAGTGACAGAGTGAGGAAGGGGGTGACATAGTGAGGGAGGGGGTGACTAGTGACATAGTGAGGGACGGGGTGACACAGTGACAGAGTGAGGGAGGGAGTGACTAGTGACAGAGAGGGATGGGGTGTCTAGTGACAGAGTGAGGAAGGGGGTGACTAGGGAGAGAGGGGGTGATTAGTGACAGAGTGAGGGAGGGGGTGACTAGTGACAGAGGGAGGGGGTAACACAGTGACAGAGTAAGGGGGTGACTAGTGACAGAGTGAGGGAGTGGGTGACACAGTGACAGAGTTAGGGAGGGAGTAACTAGTGACAGAGAGAGGGATGGGGTGACTGGTGACAGTCACCCCCCCCCTCACTCTGTCACCAGTCATCCCCTCACTCTGTCACTAGTCACCCCTTCCCTCCCTCACTCTGCCACTAGTCTCCCATTCCCTCACTCTGTCACTAGTCTCCCATTCCCTCCCTCTGTCACTAGTCTCCCATTCCCTCCCTCTGTCACTAGTCTCCCCCTCTCCTTCCCTCTGTCACTAGTCTCCCCCTCTCCTTCCCTCTGTCACTAGTCACCCACTCCCTCACTCTGTCACCAGTCACCCCCACTCACTGTGTCTCCCCCTCACTCTGCCACCACTCAACCCCTCCCTCACTCTGCCACCAGGTACCCCCTCACTCTGCCACCTGTCACCTTCTCCCTCACACACTCTGTCACCTGTCACATATGCATTCACACAGACACTATATACAAAAAAGCGCATGTAGTCATCCAGACATGCACAAGTGCATTCACACAGACTCAAATACAAACATGCATTGATACACAGGTCTTCACAATACACACATCCAAAGGAATGCCGTATTATGAATTATATTTAACATTTATTAAAATGCACATATATTTGGCCTTCAAAGGGCCTGGGATCTAATTTTGCCCGGGGGCCCCAAAGGCTCTCAGTCCGCCCCTGGTAGTGTGTGTGTATATAATGCAGTGTGTTTGTATAGTGTGTGTATATAATGCAGTGTGTGTTTGTATAGTGTGTGTATATAATACAGTGTGTGTGTGTGTGTATAGTGTGTGTATATAATGCAGTGTTTGTATTTGTGTGCATTGTATACACAGTGTGTTTGTGTAGTGTATATAATGGAGTGTGTGTGAGGGGGCATTTTTTATTAAATTATTATTATTTTTTTAGAGTTAATTATTTATTTTTGTTGTCCCCCCTCCCTGCTTGTTACCTGGCCAGGGAGGGGGGATATGACAGTTCCTGGTGGTCCAGTGGTATTGGCTGAGCTCTGGGGGGTGCGGGCATCAAGCGCTCACTCACCTCCCAGCAGCTCCTCCAGCTCCCCATTGTAACTCTCGCGGCCAGCGTGTCGCGCGGAGCGTTGCCATGGTGACCCATGGCAACGCTCTGACGGCCGCGGGTCTCGCGAGAGTTGCACTGGGGAGCTGGAGGAGCTGCTGGGAGGTGAGTGAGCGCTTGATGCCCGCTCCCCCCAGGACCGCCGGGCTTGTAATGAGCCTGGCGGTCCTAGGAGGTATTATCGGCAATATCGGCATCTGAATTGGCCGATACCGATATTGCTGAAAATACAGAATATCGGCCGATTATATCGGTAAAACCGATAATCGGTCGATCCCTAATGGAAACATCTTTTGGAGAGTACTAAGGATCCCATCCTTATACTTACTGATCATAAAAACCTTTCCTACCTTAGTGAAGCCAAGAGATTGTCTTCTAGGCAGGCCAGGTGGTCACTTTTTTTATCTCGCTTCAATGATATCATCACCTACAGACCAGGTGATCGTAACACTAAAGCTGACACTCTGTCCAGACAATTCGAAACTACCGACAAACAAGAGTTTGAAGATACCCCTGTCATTCCCCCGGACAGAATAATAGCTACTACTGTTCTCTCTATTTCTTCATCCCTCTTGCAAGTCATACAGGCTAAACAAAACAAGGCTCCTAGAGAGAGACTTGCTGATAAATTGTTTGTCGATGTTCCTGAAAGACAGGAAATTATGTCACTCTATCGTGACACCAAAACTGCTGGGCATCCTGGTTTCACTAAAACCTTAACAGCAGTTTCTAGATATTTCTGGTGGGCTTCCTTACGCAAGGACGTCACCGATTACGTACGGGCATGTGTTACTTGTGCCAGTATGAAGTCTTCTCATAGAGTTCCTTGTGGGTTGTTGCATCCGTTACCCATACCCGAGAGGCCTTGGTCCAATCTGTCCATGGATTTTATTGTTGAGTTGCCTCCTTCGAATGGTAAAACAGTCATCTTGATGATAGTCGATAGATTTTCTAAGATGGCTCATTTTGTGTCTCTTGTCAAATTGCCCTTATACAAGGAACTTGCTTCTATCTTCGCCAGGGAGGTGTTTCGGTTACACAGTATACCAGAGTCTATAGTGTCTGATAGGGGTAGCCAGTTTATTTCCAGGTTCTGGAAAGCCTTTTGTTCGGAGATGGGCATTTCCCTTTCGTTTTCCTCCACTTCCAACCCCCAGTCTAATGGAGCTGCTGAACGTGCCAACCAATCCATTGAGCAGTATCTTCGTTGTTTCCTATCCCACCATCAGAACAATTGGGCTGATCTGCTTCCTAGGGCTGAGTTTGCTTGTAATAACGCTGCTCATTAATCTTCCGGTAATAGCCCTTTCTACGTTGTTTATGGCCAGCATCCTGTTGTTCTTCCAGCTGCATTCTCCTTACAGGGCATGCCAGTTCTGGATGAGCATTTGGCTGGTTTACGTTCTACCTGGGAGCAGGTTCAGCGTTCTTTGGTGGACTCTGCTGCTCGCCAAAAGGTTCAAGCTGACAAACATCGGAGGGCGGCTCCATCCTATGTTGTGGGGGAAAGGGTTTGGCTTTTCACTCGCTATATCCGCCTTCGTGTGCCTTCTATGAAGCTGGCTCCCCGTTTTATCGGTCCTTTTCATGTCTTATATAAAATGAATCCTGTTTCATATGCCTTAGATCTTCCTAGGAACCTGCGTATTCCTAACATCTTTCACACCTCCTTGTTGAAGCCACTCCTGTGTAACCGTTATATCCGACATGTTCCTCCTCCTCCTCCTCCTGTTTCTGTGGAGGGACATGAGAAATTCGAGGTGGCTGCTGTGCTTGACTCTCGTTTTCTCTGGGGTCGCTGGGGGAGGCGGCCAATCCCTCTTCCTTGACACCGCGTGCATTGTTACTCCCATGAGTTGCTGCGCAGGAGTAGGCACAAGAGGCCGCGGCATTGTAAGGGGTATGGGCCTGAGGAATGCAGTTGGATTTCCGCTGATGCTGTTCACGCTTCTCGCCTTCTCCTTCCATTCTCGTTTTCTGCCAGGCCTGGTCCAACCCGCCCGGTGGGCGTGTCTTCAGGGGGGGTACTGTAGCGGTACGTAGTCCTCTGTTCCTGCCACGCGCGGTCCTGCATCAGTTTGAGCCGCGTGCAGCTCATCCGACAGAGTTTACAGGAAGGCAGGCACTGACTGCGAGATGTGGTCACTTGCCCTGCCTGGCTCTAAGAGCGTGTCGCGTATCTCTGGAGCGCTCTTAAAGGGACAGTGGGAGCCGAAATGTGAAATGGTCTCACATTGGCCCATGTCATTCCACATTCCCCATACACTCACGTTTTGGGGGCGTGGATATGACAGGGGCCAATCTAATTAAGCACTCGGTTATTTATACTCACCTTTCCCTTAGCTCCCTGCCCTATTATGGTTTCTGATTCAGTTCCCTTTAGTGCTTGTATCGTTCAGTAGTGTTTTTTTCGTGCTTGACCTTAGCTTTGTATCTAACTCCATTTTTCTCTTTATCCCTGCTTTGTCTTGGGTCTATATCAATGTTGCATTGGAAAATCTGTGCTATGAGGCCTCCCACTTTTTGCCAGAAGGACCTTGCTACCGGGCTTTACCACCACATGTGGATGTATGACCCTTTGGTTCTGCACTGTCTCCAGCATAGGTCGTTTGGTATTTTGCCCATGCGGTATATCTGTAATGGTGTCATGTACCACCAAAACATTGTTTTATATGTTTGTTCTTGAAGTGATGTGCAAATCGAGACTGCTGTGTTGGCCTCCCAGATATCCTGCCAGTCTGCGCCATCTAAAGTTTCCACCAGGTCGGTCTCCCATTGTTCTTAGTATACCAGTTTGCCCCATTCAGAAGTGTTGGATGCTATGTGTGTGTACAGTGAGGAGATCAGACACGTGTTCAAAACCTGTTTTTTCGTGATTTCTCGTGTCTGTGATTGACATATAAAATCTTTGAGTTGTATGTATCGGAAGAAATCTCCCAGTTTAAGAGTAATTTTTTCTGTGAGTTCATCGAACGAGACCACTCTGTCGCCGGCACTCATGTGGGAGAATCTTTGAAGCTCTGCATGTTCCAGGTTTTTGAAGTCTTTGGCCCTCATCACCGGGGAAAGGC